TTATTGCACAGGTAGTGACATTGAGGTTGAATTATTAGTTAGTTATTGCCAGTTGTTCCGTGTTATTATCGAGGGTTCAGTAATCTGACAGTTTGTGGATAATAGCTGTCCTTTAGTCTTTTTGTACATGATGACAGACTCCTGTATCGTCTGCCTGAGGGTATTAGACGGAAGTCGCAGTTACAAGGTGTTTCCTAGCATTCAGATTTAGACAGGATCTGTTTCTGAAAAGAAACCCAGTTTAACTTTTAGTTTCTTTACCAAGTTTTCCACGTGGAGCTTAAAAGAGAGATGTGAATCAACCAAGATACCCACATATTTGTAGGAATCGACAAACTCAATAGGGACATTGTTCAAAGATAAAATCAAAGGAAGAACTGCTGGGACCGACTTCCTGTTTGAAAACAACATCTCTTTGGTTTTGTCAGAGTTTAGGACAAGTTTGAGACTGAACAAATCTGACTGGATGATGTCGAAAGCGGATTGCAAAAGCTGGAAAACCTTAGCAACTGTTTTAGCTCGACAATAAACAACGGTGTCATCAGCGTAGAAATGTAAGGATGCATCAGGGACTGTTTGACATACATTACCTAGGTAGATTGTAAAGAGGGTGTGTCCTAAGACTGAGCCTTGTGGTACACCATTGTTGACTGTTAAATAACTGGAGGAAGTACCATTATGTTGAACTTCAAGGTAGCAGGTGACATGCTAGGTTTTTGTTACAGAAGGCTGTTTTGTTCAGTTCGGTGCAGCATCAGCATAAACATATACAGTGATTGTTTCATTTTAACGTTATGTGGTTGTGCAGGGTTTGAAGGTTTTTTTTTTGTTGTTGTAATTTTTATGTAAATATAATTGCATTTATTTGTCTTTTCTCCTCTTCAGGGTTTCAGGAGCGGGCCGAGTTGCACGAGATCTTCCAAACCGAGTTCCAGATGCGCCTCCTGTGGGGCAGCCGCGGCTCTGAGGGCAGCCAATCGGAACGTTACGAGAAGTTCGACAAAGTTCTCACAGCTTTGTCTCACAAACTAGAACCTCCCGTGCGCCACAGCGAGCTATAGCACCTGCCCTGACTCTCTGCGCCACCAAAACCTTCATGATTGCACTTACCACTGCCTGCATGGTGGTAGCTGTGGGTTTTCTCTTGCATAACTGAGGACGTGGGGAAGCCTGGTTCCAGCACTTGAGAGATCCGAAAGTGTGTAAGAAGGCAGCTAAAAGAGCACGAGGAACCCAGAAATGTTTAAAATATTTAAAAGCAGAGGCGAGAAGATGAGCAAAGTGGAAAAGAAGCTCTGCTCTTGTAGTACAGACTACATTTGTACGCTGAGGGCCAAATAAAGCTACAAAAACTTGGCTTTGCTCCGATAAAACACGAACACTCCACTGCTGTCACACACTGTAGCAGAATTAGCTGACATAGATCACAAGTAGATGTTTAGTGTGTGTATGTGTTCATTTCTGTACATCGTCATCTTCTTTTGGCTTATTTATTTACTATAAAATATCCAAACATTGTAACAATTTTTTCATGAAACTCGTGAGAATCCCAGATCTCGTCACTACGATTAAAACCTCATTCACCGTGTATCAATCAGCCCCATCGAATCCCATTAAAAGTGTACCATGCATTAATAAATGCATCTGAAATGAACCATTTGCAGCCGGGTTAAGAAGACGGAGCGAGCTCCCTCTGTTCTGGCTGTTTAATATATTTATACTGTGTGTCATGTGCACAAAATCAGCATAAATGAACAAAAAGTGGAATGTATTCACTTTAAATTTAGTTAAAGCAATGTTTCACTTGAACATTTATGAACATGCTTGCAGTTTATGAGCTTGTTGACATGGTCGATGCATGCAGCTGTAAATGTTATACCAAGTAAAATGTTGCTTTAATGTTAAATTTAATTACAAATGTGACAAATATACAAATGATTTAATGACAAAGTGTTGGGAAATCTTTAACGAAGCTTGGCAGGGAAGTGTTTATTTAAAATTTGCGTTCTGTTTGATTGTTCCAAGGCCCTCTGGATGTATGATTGACTGTAAAAACGACTAATTTATTGAAGTTTTGGTTTAAATTTTCAGTTTTATTGTTGATTCGGTCTGAGAGGGCTGGAGCCGACTCAGAACTATGCAACTGTTTCAATCAACGACGGAGAAGTTGAGCCTTTTCTGGAAGATTTTAGGACATTTGAAACATTTCTCATCCAAACGAACTAAACGGAAGCAACATTCAACATCAAACTGGAAATACTTCAGAAGATGCTCCCTCTGCCACCATGCTACATATTTATACTCCTTCAGCAGACGTTGGATTGTGTTTAAACTCTGGTTTTGTATTTTATTTTTATTCTGGAAGCCAGCTGCATGGGTTAGCTCCAGCATAAAGCAGCAGGAAAAAAAAACTTACACTCAGAATGAAATAAAGACAATTTTGTGTGTTTTAAGACCAAGAGAATGCCTACTGGTTTAGGTTTCACTGACATTGATCACGATGTGACGTGTTCTTATTTGTATGAGACGAAAAGCAAAAAGTTGTAAAATAATTCAGGATTGATCTCTTTTTTTGTACTGTACATAGCAATTCCCTTTTTCCAATAAAATGATTGCTTGTGTCCAGGACTTTGATTTTTTTTTGCTCCAAACACGTGGCACTTGTATAGGTTTGATGCAGCGGCTGATCTGATCATGAATCTGGAATTAGAGGAGCAGTAACTAATAAAAAAGATGTTCTGTTAAAATTTAACAATAAATTTGGGTCCAGATAACACAACATCTGGGTCCAGATCCAAACCCTGCTCCACCAGTTGAGGAGCAGTTCTGCAAAAGGTAAAAAAAATTAAAAAGATGTGCTTCTTAAATTTAAATTTAGAAAATGTGCACAGTTAAAAAAAGGAGGGTTGAAATGTCATAAGTTTAGGTTCAATTAAGACATTATTGAGTTTTAGTTTGCTTGAAAGTTTATTGGTTGGTTTTAAGGGTTTTAGTCAACAAACTTAACTAAAGAAATAAAATGGAGAAAGCTTGAAGAAAATTGTTTTATTATAAGTAACTTAAAACAAGTCATTTGCTATAATCCCAAGCTATTACATTTTTTTTAAATTATTAGCAAAACAGTTTCTTATAGTTATCAATTAACCACCTTAACTAGTAAGATCATTCAGAAGGAGAGATGTTCCCACATAAAAAATAATAACGTAAATGTTTTAATAAATAAGGGAAACATGTCATTTGTATGGGGAATAAATATTTAAAAAATTAAACTTAAAAAAATAGTAAATCTCTAAAATTTAGTTACTGCTTTGGATTGTGGCAGCATGTTTTTTTTTTTTTTTTTTTTTACAAGAAACCAGTGTGAGAGAAAATAAAATCTGTGAAGTCCTTAGCTTATGAGCTTCCTGTAAAAGTTACCAGAAAAACACAACTAAATATCCTTTTCCTATATATATATATTTTTTTTTTGGTTTGTTTATTACATTTTGCTGTATTGACTTCTCTAGTAAAAGAAAATATAAAACATGGAACAGAAATTGCTGCCAACAAATATTTATTTAACCTTTGAAAGTAATTTCCTAGATTTTGTGACTTTTATTCAACAACTATTACTTCTTTTAGTTCTAATTCCTCCAAAGTAAAATGGTTTTTTTTTTACACCAGCAAGGTTTTCTCCATATTTAATATTTTTTTACTTTTCGTAACATATATTCATTACTTATGACTTTAATTTAATAACTTCTATGCACACTTTGTAGATAAATTTTGAAAATAAAGCGTGCCATTTCAAATTTAAAACTTAAACTAAATATAAATATAATCAATCATTTCTACCATTAATGTTTTCCATCTAAAACAGGTCAACCATCCTTTTTACTGAAGATAAATACTTTGTTTCTTATTAATTTCATTAATAGAACTCGCCAAGAGTCATTGTCTTTTTATGTATTTGCCAGCAGGGGGCAGCACTTCACCTTCAAACAGCTTCTGATTCTTCCTTTGAGTACAACAATCAGAAAACTTCATCTATCCAGTCATGTCCCTGTTTTTATTCTTTGTTTTAAACACTAAAAGTGTCTCACTTCTTGAGTTTCTGCTGAAGTCTCTGCTTTTTCCTTGTCAGTTTGTTGCTCACAAGTCTAAATATTTTAGATCTTGTGTTAAGAGTTTCAAGTGGACAATAGACTTAAAATAAACAAGTACAGTAGAAGAAAAATGCACGTTCTTCCGTGCACTGAGCATGTGCGTTCTGCAAAGCATCATGCATTGCTCTGCTGATATAAACCCACAGTGATGGCAACAGGAGGGAAAAAGAACAGATGGTGTGTGTGTCTGTGTGTGCGTGTGAGTGAATAATACGCGTGACTCCTCAAACATTCATACGTGCATAAATGTGTGTATAATAATAATAAAAACTAATAATAAATTCACTGCATTGATAAAATATTTAAAAACAAGTAACAGGCTATACAATAAAACAGTCACTACGACTGGCAGCACGATGGCTCAGTGGTTAGCGCTGTTGCCTCACAGCAAGTAGGTCCTGGGTTCAATCCCCGGTTGGACCTGGGGTCTTTCTGTGTGGGGTCTTCCCGTGCTTGCGTGGGTTTTTTCCGGGTACTCCGGTTTCCTCCCACAGATGAAAAACATGCATGTTAGGCTGCCTTCAGGCCCAGGCCTCCCTTGCAAAAGAGATCTGTGATCTCAGTGGGATTTGCCTGGTTAAATAAAGGTTAATAATAATAATAGAATAAGCTCTGTGTGGGTACTCAATAACCACCCAGTAAGTGGTAATAATGTACCTATTGGGTACCAATAAGTTCAAGGACATAATGGGTAAATATCCAGTAGAGACATAGTAAATACCTAAAAAGTCCCCTCATCTGCCAGACAACTGCCTCGTAAGTGACCTTTAAGTACTTGAATCAACACCTGTCACCTGATGGGTTCCTGTGTACATAATGGTGAATTATCTTATAATATACCAGCTACATACCAGGTAAGTACCTGATAACATACAAGCTATGTACCAGGTACATGATGCTGTTGTTTGGCGTATTGTTTTGTACTATTAGTGCTTAGTATATTCTTAGTTTAGCGTATTTCTTAGTTCATATCTTACATCTTATTACTGTTTTTCTTTACAATTTGTATTTTTGTTGGATGTAACTGGGACCCTGTGTACATAGTTTCGTTCCACCTCATGTACCACATGTGACGTGAACGACAATAAAGACACCTTGACCTTGTAAGTACCTGATAATGTGCAAGCTATGCACCAGATAAACATCTGATAATACACCAGCTAGTCAAGAGATAAACTGATCTGGGAACACATTTTAAAGAGTTGAGTGGGCAAAGGGTTCAACATACAGTATATGTTGATGAATTAGACGACTTGACGACTGGCACATCAGTGACAGAGGCAGTGGTGCCGCTTGCTGGACAGAATGGGAGGGAGGGTTTATTCAAGGATAACAATCAAAAACTCACAAAAAGGACGAGACAAAAAGTAGTGCAGGACAATGAAAGACGATAGAGCACTGTGTAATATGTAATAACAAGAAGATACTCTGCTTTTCTTTGTCTCCTGTTTCTATACGGGTTCCAGAGGCAGAGCATGTTCTGGGTGTAATCTCTAAGAGGATTCTCTCTGCTTTGGGATCATGTTAATTTCAGCTCTTTATTTTGCTTCTGGAAACAGAACCATGCTCCTCCGGACCCATCATCAGCCAAGTGATTCTGACAGCAAGCCATCAACCCCTAATCTCCCCCACAATCCTTCTAAAGATAATCTGTCGTGTTGCTCATTGTCATCTGATCATGCGTGACCTTGGGTTGCTGGACTCCGGCAGCGTTACACAGAAACGGATTGGTTAAAGTATGACTCTGGAATTCTGTGGAATCTGGGTAGAATATTGTTTGAGATATCAGATTGTTTCCAGTTAATAAAACTTATCAAAGGTCATATCAGTCTTATAAATTAGTCATGTAACAACTTTATAGTTATTTTTGAAGGCAAAAATATGTTTGCCTCTGTGTGTGTTTGTCTGTAGTGTTGGCAAAATATCTCATGAACCGGAGGAAAGAATTAGTAATTATACGGCAAACTTACGATTGTGATGAGGTCCGCACTGGGTTAAACTCGGGGAATCTCTGTCCGACGCGTGTTTCCAAACTGACGTCACTTCACGTCACTTCTTTATGCAATAATTGTTTTTTCTGTTTCAAATTTCCATGCTTTAAACATTACACAGACTGAGACACAGACTGACCAGGTCCAAGCAATTGATGCTTGCTTGGCATAACTCGCTGTGGCGTATAACACGGACAACAGAAAATATGACGACCCTGGGTGCACCCAACTTCCTCATCCATATAAAGCCAGAACACCAGTAAGCACGTCATTTATGCCTGCTGACAGTCACGCATACATCGACACACTCACCACCCATGTGTCTTAAAGCTGCGTGTTCACCTCATCAGTTGCTTATTTCACTCATATGGCTCTTACAATTAGTAAAACTTGCAGAAAAGTAATCCCTGAATGTACATTTACAACCAATTAGCTTCCGGCGTTGACCTGATTCAAGATGGCCCACACAAGTACTGTACTTGCCGCCGTACACGTCGCACCGCCGTATAAGTCGCATCAGTCCAAATATGTCTAATAAAGTGGGAAAAAACATAAATACGCTGTGTTGCCGTATAAGTCGCATCTATTATGCGTCACCACTGGGAAACGTGGGCCGGTGTTGTGCCAAAAATCCATTGGCTTCCAAATGGCGCGGCGGGAGCGTGACCAGGAGGACTTTAACAAGAATTTAACAAGATTAACACTTAAAAACAATTATTTGTTTGCTCAAAATTATAGCAAAGGTGAGTCTCTGTTAAATTTTTCCTTAATAAATGCACTTTGACGGTCAAATCAGCTGCATTTCAAAAGCCGATTCGCGGAGGTGGGAGCGCACAGAGGGACGACTCGCTGTGCATTTCTTCTAAATTTAACAAGATAACCACCTAAAACCAATTATTTGTTTGCTCTACAATATAGTAAAAGTGTGTCTCAGTTTAACTTTTCCTTAATAAAGGCACTTTAATGGTCAAATCAGCTGCATTTCTCCTGGATGCTGTGACGAAATGCAGCTGATTTGACGTTTGCATCAGGAGTTCCGGAGCGAGCCGAAGATGGGACGCTATGGCAAGACAAGTGTCTCATTAATAGCCACTTTTACCTGTTACTGAGACACTTGGCTTGCCATAATACTCAACCGCCCTCTAGTGGCTGAAAATGGTAGTGTTCAATATTTTCCATATCAGAACGAATGAAATCGTCAGATTTCAGACAAAAATTGGGTTATAAATATGGGAAACATAAATAAATAAGTCACTTCGCTGTATAAGTTGCAGGGCACGCTAATTTATACAAAAAGGTGCAACTTATACAGCGAAAAAGACAGTAATAAACTTTGGTAAATATGACTATAACTCAGTCACTTTCTCAAGATACTGAGACAAAATTTGACGTGTTGATAGTTCGGAGTAATTCACGACACATTCTCTGAGCGTGACATCTTGTGATATCGCATGAGACTGTGCAAAATGTTATTTCCAGGTTTGACCAAAGCAGTTACAACTCTGTCATTTCTCAGCATAGCATGGTCTTAGGTTTAAACTCTCACATAAGGGTGGTGGGTGATATTCCTTTAATTGGAAGCTGCAATCTCAACAAAAGCACCAAAATGGCTGATATCATTGTAGTGTAAATAAATCTGGGGCTCCATTTATAAGAGCTGTATGTAAACGTGCAGAGAAATCATGATATGCAGTGCGATCATTCCTCAGCAGCTCGTAATCGTCCTACACTTACAGCTGCTGTGTGCAGTGCACTGCAGCCTCAGCTGTCAGAGGACCTCCTTACCCACCCCGCCTGCCCACCACCTTCCCCCTCCGCCAGGTCCAGCTCGATCTGTCTGTCTGCCCTTTCTGCACTCACTCCTCATTAACACATGAATGAAGACAGGCAAAGGCCTGCTAAGGCTTGGACACCAACAGAAGGCAGCAGATTTGCAATTCAAACTTCTGACCAGCCGCGCTGCACACCCCAGGCCCTCCCCCCTCCATCCAGCACGGCTTGGTCCGAGTCTAAACTGTCAATTGTATGATAGAAGATGTATGTGAAAAGGGAGGGAGATAGATGTGGACTGACAAATTAATGTCCTGCCTCCTCACAGTTTCATACAAATGGAAGGAAAACATACACATGTGCAAAGTTAGTATGAGAACAGTGTTTCTTTCCAGCTGCTGATGAATTTTTAACTAAATTATTTACCAAAATAGAATATAATTTAAAGGTGAACTGCCACTCTTGTACAACAATCATAGAGCTGGTAATTTAAAAGAAATCCTAGCTATAAAGCTTAACATTATGTCACTGAAAAACAAACAAATCAATAAATAAAAATGTTAACTCGCAAAAAAAAGTGTTAAAGGTGTAAAACCATTTGTATTAAATCATAATGAAAGATATACAGTAATGGCATTTTATTTAATTTTCACCTCCTAAATAAGTATACAAGTTTAAATATTTGTTAAAGGTTAACGAAAGTGCTTTGAAAACAAGAAAAAAAAAACTACATTTAAAGGCTTTTGTTTTAGTTACTATTTATTTGAACATTTCAGGAAGAAATAATTTAAATCTTTCAAATTTCGATGCTTTTTCACATCATTAAACATTAATTAAGTCGTATTCTAATCAAAATGGCTCAAAATTAGGAGGTTGTTTGGCAAATTTGTGAATATAAAATGAAGCAAATCCTGTTAAAGACCGTTCAAATGAACAGTCGTGGCTTTGGTTTAACATTGTTACCGTATTGTCATACCTTTGCTGGAGACCTCACGCTTGAAGAAATAATTTTTAAAGAATTTAAGGATTTTGTTTACATAATACACAAATTAAATTGCAATAAATACACAATAGCATTCAAAATAAAGGAACATTTATGAATAATTAAAAATCCATGCATTTTTTTTTTTTTACTTATGCGAAGGAACGCAAAAAAAAATAATGAATGACTCTTGATTACGTCACTTCCGCTACAGGAGAATTACTTCCTGCATGTGTTGACAATATGGCGGCCTCCATAGCTCTTCATCTGGAGTTTGGGTAGGTACTTCATTAATGTTATTGTGGTCTTTGTGTTTTCCGTGTGTTAGTAACTCGGTGAGGGAATCACTCAGTGACTGAGGGTTTGCTTAATATTTGTGAGAACCGGAAGTTTAAGGCTCGTTTAACGTGGAACTGAACAAAAAACGGTGCCGAGCCACTCACCCGACCGTTCAAACCATGGATTATTGTTTACACCTAACTTTTCCCGACGTTTGGCTACATCTCGTATCTAGTCTGCCTAGTTAATATTTTGGTTTTCTAGCTCTTAGGTTAAAGTTCGCTACAACGAAGGAGCAGTAGCACACTAATGCGGAGTGGCGGTGTTGTGTTGAAAAATGTATCCGCGTCGCGGTGAGCGCACGTGAAAAACACTCCGTATGTGCCTGCATACATAAATGTTTCAAAATTACAAATATGTGTACTTATATGTGTTCTTCTGAGTAGTGTGTGACGCGAGTCTATTTTCCAACTATTTAAAATTTGCTTTTTTATTTTATGAATAAAATTGTTTTTGAATGCCGCACTTACGAATGGGGTACTTTTTTCGAGACAACACCGGTGCAATTAAATTAAAACAATTTAGAATCTCATTTTGTACACTTTTATTTAAAGAAACGGGCATAATATACATCTTAATGTTCCAAGTATGTTGGTGAAAACAGCAAAGACATCAAGAAATTTGAAGAAATGGAGTAAGTAAATTACCCGAATTAAAGTAAATGCTACATGAAGCAAAACTATTTGCTCTAATAAATCTAAACAACAACCAACAGAACTTTGTAGAGCAGAAAAATCACACAAGAGCCGACTTAAGCCAGGTTTTATTAATTGAAGTATTTTTTTAAATAACAAGAAAAGCTTGAAGGAATTAAAAATCTGGTAGGTTGTGATAATTTTGTTTTAAATAGAACGAAAGAAATGCATGTTTATTGCGTAGGAGTAACTCAATTCACTTATTTATTATATATTATAGTTATTCAAAATGTTATGTGTCTGCATGTTGTAGTAAACATTGTGAATTTGTCAATATGAAACAGTAACTTGCCAGTTTTAATGTATAAATTTTTAGATAATAAGCAAATACATGAAAAATCATTGTCTAAAAAAAGGATCAAAAAGGGATATTTTGTTTTTTAACACCAAAGCTTTTTTTAAATTATTTTATATTTTCATTAATTTGCTTTAAGTAATCTAAAAAATAAACTTTATAATTGTTATCCTGATGCCTGTCGGTGACAGTCCTGTGTTGTGCTGTTGTTAAACATTCTACATTACTACACGTTTACAGCAAAGCTTTTTTAAAAATAACAATAATAATTTTTAATTAATTGGCTTTTTATTTAGTGGAGGAGCAGAGCTGCTTTTCAGCGGCCAGAAGGAACATCATGTGACTCTCCCAAGCCAATCAGAGCCCTGTGAGTATCATCTTTGTATCAATATTTTTTTAACTGGGGATCCAGTTTAGTTATGGCGATATATCGACGGATTGGGACCTCATCCTCAGTAATGAGGGCGTTGCTTCGGTCAGTCATGTTGAAGAAAGAGCTGAGTTTAAAGGCAAAGCTCTTGATTTTCTGCTCTGTCTATGTGCCGACCTTCACCTCATGCGTTTTGGATCATGACCGAAAGAACGAGATCCTGGGTACAAGTGACCGAAATGGGCTTCCTTTGTAAGGTGACCAGGCTCAGCCTTAGAGGTAGGGTGAGGAGCTCCGTCATTCAGAGATGGCTCGTAGTAGGGCCGCTGATCCTCCGCATCAAAAGGAGTCAGTTGAGGTGGTTTGGACAAATACTCTTTTTATTACAATCCATTTATCAACTATGATGTTTTTATTTGTTATTTGATAGCTTAATTAAAAAGAAAACAGTTATTTTCAAAACCACTCTGAGTATCTCTTATGTGGATTCACATCAGACAAATGCCCCTCCGTGTTTCTAAAGCGGCAAATGTAATTTGACAATGAGAACTATTAGTGCAAGAGTTTTATTTTAGTAAATATTTAGGGATCTGTTCAAATATGTGGTGAATAAATTGCATTAAAGAAACCTACTAAATCAGTTAGGATATGGAAAATATTTAGACAAATGTTACGTTTTAAGAAAAAAAGACTTATTTAATTTTAAAAGACATATAGAATAAATATAGCAGCTTATTGATCCAATTTATCCCCTTTGTCCCATTCCTCAAGATATGCAGTTTAGGTTTTCCCTTTGCTAACCCTGGTGTGTGAATGTAGTGTAAAAATTGGAAATAAGATTTCTGATGCAAGAAACTTTAGTGACAGTATTTTTCATTCCAGCTCCAAAATTAGATTTTATTTTGAAAGAGTAAATTATAATATGGTTCATTTTCACAACTCAAAGGAGGGAAAATTAAAATGAATAAATAAATCAACTGCCCTGTTTGATTTTTATGTGTTTTACAAAAAGAAACGGGACACATAAGAGAAAAATGCATCTTTGCTGTTTGGGAAAACAAAGCCTGTTCATCTGGGGTGTTGATGTTACCACGACAACAAAGAGACAAAAGTTGACCAGAACAGGGAATGTCAGCCCGATTACGACCTTGCTGCACCAGCTGACCTGTGTCTGTGTGTGTGTGTGTCTGTGTCTGTCTGTGTGTGTGAGAGAGAGAGATTGTGTGAGGTTTTGATAAATGGCACACAAAGTTTTGAGTTTATTCTGCATCATCACACACTTTATTTATTTGTTCTATACTTGTGATCTGATGTTCTCTCTCTTTCTATATGTGTGTGTGTGTGTGTGTGTGCGGGGGGGGGGGGGGGGTGTGAGTGAGTTCTAGCTCAGAGGGGGATGCAGTGAAGGTGGATATAATTGGTTCTGAATCATTCGTATTTATTTTTTGACCCCGACCGATGATTGATGACCCTCAACTGAAAGACCCGACCCCCTCTGTTTCTATAACTTGCACACAACAAAACCCCCATAGTTGAAGCCCCCCCTCCCTTTTTTTTAGCGTCTCGCATCAACAGAAAGATGGATAGCTCCTTCCTCCCTCACATGACCATCATAATTGCACGACGACAGAAAAGGCATAAAAAAGGGTAAAACGACTCAGAAAAAGGTTTTGAATAGCATCAAAATGGCGCCTTTTTCACCCCTTTTTCCATACACTCAATGCAGCTATATCCCATGATGCATTGGGATCCTGTGACGCACTTTCCCTTCTCTGTTCTGTCCGTGTGCTACCTGGACGGCTATCTAAATCGCTCACATCTATTCCCTTCTTGTCACTTCGCTTCTGCTTTCTTTACATTATTCTGTCTTTTTGCTTCAGGCTTGATTTCATTTCTGGGACCTGTGGGATATTAAACGTAAATGTCATTAAAAAGCACAGCCTCTTTTATTTCGAACACAAAAAGCCATACTATTAAAGTTATCAGCTTGATTCGCCTGCGTATGGAGCTTGGGCAACCTTGTAGCATGTTTGTGATTTAAAGAAGAGGCTATAAACGAGAAGTGAAACGATGGAGGGAGATGAGAGAGGAACTTTTATGAGAGGAAAGGGAGTGTGTGAGAAATGAAATGGAAAAAGTAAATGGGTGAGAGGATGAAGTAAGGGGTAATGGTGGAGAAAAGTACTAATAGTGAAAGGCAGAGGGAGAAAGGAGTCAGCACAAAGGAGGAGTTATGACTGCTGGAGTGATTAGTTCTGTTTTTATCTCTGCAGAGGTGCAGGTCAGTGCTCACTAGCCTGTACTGTGTGTGTGTGTGAGGCTCTTTTACTACATTTAGAAACCTGCAACCACGACAAGCCTGCAGTGTTGTTATTGAGCTAGCAGATAAAGCTGAGTGATGAATCCACCATGAAGTTAGCAGAATATTATTTTATTAGGATTTTCAATTCAAATATTAAAGAAGCTCTTGATTATGGTTTATGTTTCCTTTTTCTCTTCTTTATAATTTGGAATCACCTTTCTTCGATTTACTGAAACAGGTGCACAAATAAGATGTTTGAACTCTAAAAAAGCCACAAAATACTTTTAATTAAAATAAAAAAATGTTTTCCCATCTTTGGACATATAAAGCCCACTGCATTGCAGTGCATTTTATATCATATCATTTATTTTTTTCATTCATTTTATATATTTTACTTAATTTAATAATTAATGCAAGTGTGCGATGATGCAGCGTTAAACTCAGAACTTTGTGTGCTTCTTGGCAAAACCTTGTGTTCACACCTGGATTGGTACCACACACACACACACACACACCTGGATTGGTACCACACACACACACACCTGGATTGGTACCACACACACACACCTGGATTGGTACCACATAGACACACACACGTAGGCCTTTCACAATAACAAGTTTTGCTGAGCGATTAATTGTCTCGGAAATTATTGTGATAAACGATAATATTGTTTGAAATTTGACAATAATTAGTAATTATTGTCAAATTTAAGAAGGAATGTTGGTCTTTTGAGTGTAGTATCTTTTTGACCACCGGATGGCAGTATAC